TGTACACCAACAATTCATTTTTATTGTACATTTTATTCTTAGGTTGAATCATAATTTTATAATCTTAAACATCTAATAGAGATAACATCAGCTTATTTGGCTAGTAAATCTAAGTAGAATAAAATTGTATGTCTGCATTATATTGAATGCTGACAAATCTGGAGAAATACCTATTTGTATTTAACTAACAATGTTGAACTAGCTGTATTTACCAAAGATTATCCCAGAGCAAGTGAATTTGGAAGTAAATTTTGGGTTAATTTCTATTTTTCTGAGAGTTTTAATAATACTTAATGTAGGCCGGGCGCGGTGGCTCACGCCTGTAATCCCAGCACTTTGGGAGGCCGAGGCGGGTGGATCACAAGGTCAAGAGATCGAGACCATCCCGGTCAACATGGTGAAATCCCGCCTCTACTAAAAATACAAAAAATTTAGCTGGGCATGGTGGCACGTGCCTGTAATCCCAGCTACTCAGGAGGCTGAGGTTGCGGTGAGCCGAGATCGTGCCATTGCACTCCAGCCCCGGTAACAAGAGCGAAACTCCGTCTCAAAAAAAAAAAATAATAATAATAATAATACTTAATGTATATGAGTACTTTTTTTTCTAAGCCAATTAATGCAGAGTTTTTTGATACATTTTGGCAATACCATCCAGAGTTAGAAAAATATCAATATACAAAACACACATATAAGCATATGTAAACACACAGACAGATGCCAATAGAAATCTCATAGCTTTCATTTTAAACTTTTAACCATGAGTCAGGCATAATATTACAAAACTCACTCGTTTATGTAAAATAGTTGGAACCACTTGGTGTCCTTGGCAGATGGAACACAAGTTCACCTCCTAATTAAGGTCACCTCCTAAATAATGGCTCTTAATTTTCCCCAATATTTGTAGGGAAGATGGTACGATTTGGATCTGTGTCTCCACCAAATCTCATGTTCAACTATTACCCCAAGTGTTGGAGATAGTGCCTGGTGGGAAGTGATGCCTCATAAATTGTTTAGCAGCATCCTCTCCACGCTGTTCTTGTGATAGTGAGTTATGAGATCTGGTTGTTTTAAAAGCGAGTAGCACACATCCCCCCCCACCCCATCTTCCTCCTGCTCTGACCATGTGAGACTTACCTGCTCCCCTTCACATTCTGCCATGATTGTAAGCTTCTTGAGTGGCATCCCCAGAAGCAGAAACAGCTATGCTTCCTGTACAGCCTGCAGAACCATGAGCCAATTAAATCCTTTTTCTTTATAAATTACTCAGTCTTGAATATTTCTTTATAGCAATGTGAGAATGAAATAATACAGAAGACTTTTCAGATTTTTGTATATTTTGCTTCCAAATAGTTCTTAATTTTTTATTTGCCTTTCCTGCAGTCTGATTTTCCTACTGGTACCAATAGGACATTTGTTTTAGGGTGCAAGCTCTCTTAGAAAAAATCCTTTTGAGGCCGGGTGCGGTGGCTCACGCCTGTGATCCTAGCACTTTGGGAGGCCGAGGTGGGTGGATCACCTGAGGTCAGGAGTTCAAGACCAGCCTGGCCATCATGGTGAAACCCCATCTTAAAAAAAAAAAAAAAAAAAAAGAAAAAATCCTTTTGGATATAAAGATCACGTTTTCAAAGGTATACCTAGTCCAATGTGATTCTAAACCAATCAGCCTTTTTATGGCTTAACCATAGACACAAGAGACATCCCCAAAGAGGGTTCAAAGGAGGAAGTACCCATTCCTTACTCCTAAAGATAGCCTGAAAAGCAAAGAAATTCATTGTCACTGTCAATAAGGAAACTACAGTCTCCCATAAAATTGAGGTGCCTTCAATCACAGACTCACTAATCTGTGATGCCAGGTAGGTAATACTGGGATGGTACATTTCCCAGCACAAACAAGGCAACAAAGAGGGACAATAAAGGCCCCTTTTGGACTGGGGCCCCTTATTAAGGCAAACTCCCCTGACAGCTGCAAGATTGGTCAAACAAAATGCTGCTTGTTCATTTCATGCGTTGGTTTCCTAACCTACTGGCTAGCCACCCAATGCAGGCATGACGACAACCTTGCCCTCTCAGCTGGCAGAAACCAGACTGGTTACCAGAGACCATAGTCGTTACAAAGCTAAACCCTCAAAACACAAAATGAGACAAACGAGGAACCTCATCCAGTTTTTTTCCATTGGTTATCCACAGCAAAGTTTGTCTAAATGATGGATGCTGCTCTAGCATAAACTGTAAACTCATCGTCTGTGAAGCTGGCTTAAACAACAGTCTTGCAGGGCCTATGCCTGTAACTCTGACAGCTCTCCAAAACTGTGACTCTTCTCCTCATTAAAATAAATCACACAAAGACAGAAACAAAGGAAAACAATGACTCTTGCTAGGAAGCTAAAGGAGAGTAACAGCAAGTGCTCAAAACCACATTTACAAGTCACCATCCAGAGAACCAATTTTACCAATATTTTTCTCTTGCTAATGCAAATTTGGAAAGGAAAAGACCAAGAGACTTCTGCCATCCTCCTTCGGTCAGACTCTACCTACAGAAATCCGGCCGGCTGACGTTAGTTAGAACTTTTGCCTTTTACCGGCTTCGTTAGAGATCTTGGATCTCAACTTTAGCCTCCGGAGCAATTGAAGTGCCTGCCCTTGCTTAGTGGCTGTCAAAACGCGCGGTGAGGAAGACTACTTCCCTCTTCTCTCCTAGGTTCGATGACTGCGGCCCTGGAGATTAAACTGACAAGAGACAGACTAAGAAGAGTTAAATTACATACCTCTGCATGGAAGTTTCACAAAGAACTGAGACTCAAGGGGGCAGCCAGATGATTGAAGCTTCTGTACCATCTTAGGCTGAGCAGAGAGAAAGGAGTTTTGGGCAGCTTTCTGCCCAAAGGGAAGGAGGAAAGTTCTGGGAAGGTGTGGGGATGAAATGTATAGTAAATAAGGGTTTTGTTATGCAGATATGTCTCTCGGGTGATAACTACTGTTTCCAGGAGCAGCTCTCTTCCCTTACAAATGGAAATTTCCTTTATAAATGTAAATTTTCTGTACAAAAGGGGACCTTTATAGTTCATGTTAGGTGTTTAGGGGGAGGTAAAGAGCTTTTACTTGGTCTGCTGGTTCTCTATTGCCTTTAGCTCCAAATGACCTGTGTGCCAAAGTGACATATTTTGGGGTTGTATATTTTAGTATGCTTCATTTCAGGAAGAATTTTATTTTATTTTTTTTCTTGTGGAACTTTTTTTTTCCCCCAGATGATTTTTTTTTTTTTTTTTTTTTTTTTTTTTTTTTTTTTTTTTTTTTGAGACGGAGTTTCGCTCTCGTTACCCAGGCTGGAGTGCAATGGCGCGATCTCGGCTCACCGTAACCTCCGCCTCCTGGGTTCAAGCAATTCTCCTGCCTCAGCCTCCTGAGTAGCTGGGATTACAGGCACGTGCCACCATGCCCAGCTAATTTTTTGTATCTTTAGTAGAGACGGGGTTTCACCATGTTGACCAGGTTGGTCTCGATGTCTTGATCTTGTGATCCACCCGCCTGGGCCTCCCAAAGTGCTGGGATTACAGGCGTGAGCCACCGCGCCCAGCCCAGATGATTGTTTTTTAATTTTTAAATTATTATTCTCTTCTGTTGGTGAAGCTCTCATTTGTAATTGTTTTTTGTTTACATTTTTTTGTTGTTGTGAATAATATCTCAGGCAATCTTGAGAAGCTGCCTCTTCTTCACATGTCTTTTTTTCCTCAAATAAACAAATCTGAACAAGACATCTTTTATAATTTCTAATTTAAAAAATTATTTTTTAGATGAAATCTCTATTACCAGGCTGGAGTGCAGTGGCGTGATCTCAGCTCATTGCAAACTCTGCCTCCTGGGTTCAAGCAATTCTGCCTCAGCCTCCCAAGTAGCTGGGATTACAGGTGCCTGCCACCCTGCCCAGCTAATTTTTTGTATTTTTAGTAGAGATGAGGTTTCATCATGTTGGCCAGGGTGGTCTCGACATCCTGACCTTGTGATTCGCCCACCTTGGCCTCCCAAAGTGCTGGGATCACAGGCGTGAGCCACTGTGCCCAGCCTAAAATTTCTAATTTTTCCTCTGTTCAGTTTTTACTGTGAAATTTATTTTTCCAGTGTTCTTTCTGTTAACTGCTGTTTTTTCTCTGTATGGGAGCAGATCAGTTCAGTGTCTCTTTTACCCTCTCTCTTCATCTCCCCTTAGCCCGTGCTTCTCTCATTTGTTCTTATTACTCACACAACCTCTCTCTTCCACTTCCTCCCATTAACAATTTCCTATCGAAGTCTCTTGAGTTCCAGTTAGTGAGCCTCTAAATTACCCTCTTATTAACGCCACCTTTGTCTTTGCCTGCTTTCAACATAGTTTCTTCAGACTTTAACCTCACCACTTATGTTTCCTTTCCAAATCTCTTTTCCTTTGCTAAATAAACCTCACCATTTAAGTGAGAGAGCATGGTATGGCAAGAGGAAGGTATGGAAACGACACCGACATACCCGTTGTATTAGAAAAAGTAGTACCGCTGGGTGAGTCTCTTGGCTTCTTGGGACCTCACTTTCTTATCTAGCAAAATGAACGGGTTGGTTTAGCAAAGGCTTTAAACTCAAAGGCTTGCAACAGAGTCCAGACAGATTATGCAAATGAATTAGAAGAGGCCAGGCAGGGATTGTGGGAAACTGGGGACTGTCCGTGTAAAGGGCACGATCACTGCTCAGCTTTTCGTACTGCCGCGGAGAAATGCTGGCTGTGTAGGATCCACAGATCTTCCAGTTGCCCAGCAGTAATCAGGAATCTGGACTTTTACAAAATGTGAACTGTTCTTTCCTCCCCCCAGCCAAGTCAAAGCTGTTTTATTATCATTCACATTATTTCATAGAAAAAGGAATGTAGCAAACGGGTCAGGGTTGTACAAAAAACAAAACCAAACCAAAAACCAGGTTTATAGAGGTTGCGTTATTTACATCTGGGCACAGGGATTGTTCTTCACATCTCAGAACAGGCATCAGGCACAGCAGCTGCACTTGTCCGACGCCCCTTTGCAGATGCAGCCCTGGGCACACTTGGCACAGCCCACAGGGCAGCAGGAGCAGCAGCGTTTCTTGCAGGAGGTGCATTTGCACTCTTTGCACTTGCAGGAGCCAGTGCGCAGGTGCAGGAGTCACCGGGGCGCAGGAGCAGCTGGGATCCATGGCGAGCTGAAGAGGCGGCTGGAGTTGGAACATGGCTGCATGGGAACTTGCTGGGACTTGGAGGAGGCGTTGAACTGCTTAAATGCAGACAACTGATTCAAATTACGGACCAAACAAAACACATCACATTTGGCCAGAAGGTTGCCATTTGCGACCTTTAGGTGAGATGGGCTCTTTAAGTTTCTCACAAGTCAAAAATTGCATGACTCGTTAGCAATACGTTTTAAACCTAGCCAGTTCTCCTGTATTACATTTCCAAAATTGTTTCCTTGTCATTTGTATTTGTTGGGCTGTGAGTCTCCAATGTGAGCACTCTGGAGTTTGTTATCAGAAGAAAATACAACTTCTTTCGCCTCTGCCTCTGACATAAAGTAACCCAATGTGTTGCTCCCAGACCCTTAATCAGTGTCTGGAGAGTGTGTGTAATCTCCTCGGATAGCTGACTCTGGTGTGCACGCAGGTCCTGGAATAAACAGCCTCTTTGCAGTGTGACACACACTCCTCTGTTCCTTTGTCTGGATGCACATTTTTAAATCCTTTCACCTATTTCGTGTAATGTTAATTTGTAAACTAATCTAAGTAGGCCAGGTGCGGTGACTCACGCCTGTAATCACAGCACTTTGGAAGGCTGAGGCAGAAGGCTCACTTGAGAAGCCAGGAGTTTGAGACCAGTCTGGCCAAGATGGTGAAACCCTGTCTGTATTAAAAACACAAAAATTAGCTGAATGTGGTGGTGCATGCCTGTAATCCCAGCTACTTGAGAGGCCAAGGCAGGAGAATGGCTTGAACTGGCGAGGCGGAGGTTGCAGTGAACTGAGATCACACCACTGCACCCCAGGCTGGGTGACAGAGCTAGACTCCATCTCAAACAAAAACAAACAAACAAACAAACAAATTAAAAATAAATAAGCTAGTCCCAGTAGGAGGAAACTCAACAATGAAAGAAACACTTGAGGCTCAGAAGCTCAGAGAAAGGAATGAATGATAAACAGTAAGAAATAGAGGAAGTAAAGTACCTGACGATGACAAGAAAGCCAAGGGACAGTCATTAACTCTGTCATATCCCATTTAGTGACACCTTCCCCCAAAGGGGTTCCCTTGGTCATTCCCTACAGTGTAGCCTTCCTTGGGCCTGGACGCCGCTGTCTGAGTTCCCCTCCACCTACTCTCTTCTAAGAGCTGTCAAATTTGTTTCTAGTTAAACTGACCGGCTTGTGTTCTCTTTTTTATTACCCTAGGTCACTCATGAATAGGGCTCATCCTTTCCTCTGTATACATGGACCTTGAGAATCTTTACCTTTTTCAGTGTTTCGGTGAAATTGACTATAAGTGTCTTTCTTTTCTTTTTTTTTTTTTTTAGACAGAGTTTCGCTCTTGTTACCCAGGCTGGAGTGCAATGGCGCGATCTCGGCTCACCGCAACCTCCGCCTCCTGGGCTCAGGCAATTCTTCTGCCTCAGCCTCCTGAGTAGCTGGGATTACAGGCACGTGCCACCATGCCCCGCTGATTTTTTGTATTTTTAGTAGAGACGGCGTTTCACCATGTTGACCAGGATGGTCTCGATCTCTTGACCTCAAGATCCACCCGCCTCAGCCTCCCAAAGTGCTGGGATTACAGGCGTGAGCCACCGCACCCGGCTGTTTTATTATTTTTTGAGACTGAGTCTCGCTCTGTCGCCCAGAATGGAGTGCAGTGCTGGGATCTCAGCTCACTTGCAACCTCTGCCTCCCAGGTTCAAGCAGTTCTCCTGCCTCCGCCTCCCGAGGAGCTGGGATTACAGGTGCCCACCATGCCCAGCTAATGTTTGTATTTTTAGTACAGACATGATTTTGCCACATTGGCCAGGCTGGTCTTGAACTCCTGACCACGTGATCCACCCATCTTGGCCTCCCAAAATGGTGGGATTACAGGCATGAGCCACCACACCCGGCCTTTGCAAAGCATTTTAAAAACCATGTTTCTGATAACCTAAAAGACAGTATCCATTACTAGAATGGACCAAATGACTGCTATGTATCCACAATTCTTCCCTTTCTTAATAGGGGCTTCTTTTTTTTTTTTTTTTTCATTTTATTTTTATTAAGCACTACGTAACACACTGCATGCTACATAATACACTGTATAAACTTCTAGCAGGGGTAAATGACCACAACTGAGTTATTTTTTTCATCAATCAGGAAAATGCTTCCTTAATCAATGTTCTCCAAACCCTTTGACATGCAGTAACGATCAACTCCAGAGATGTGCCTATCTCTTTCCATCAAATCCCAGTGATACAAAAAATGGGGAACTCTTTTTTCCTTGCCCCCGTTAGTGAACCTGTGGATGTACAAAGTAGCCAGTCCTGGAATAAGCGAGCACACGCCCATGGCGGTGAGTCCGGGGAGAATCTTGAACCACATCTCTGCCCTGTTACCTAGGCCAAAAGCCTACTTCTGGGTCCTTCTTAATAGGAGCTTCTATTGTGGTTATCTTGTTCCTGTCTTATAATTACATATTAGAGGGGCAGGGAATTTTTTCATATGTTTGTATATCACCAAACTGAAAAGAGCTTTGGATGAGAAGACTTCATATCACCCAGAGATGCTGGACTTCGAGCTGTATGCATGAACTGGATCAGACTTTAGCATGTGTCCGTGGAAATGAGGAAAGAAGGGTATATACAGATATTTTGGTGAAAAGAACAAACTGAAGAAGAGGCAAAATTTCTCCTCCCTCTTCCATATTATAAACCAAATTTCATCTAGCCTAAGATTCCATTGACTGTAAAGCATGTGCTGTATACGTACTACCAGGAAAGGAAAAATGCTGCCAACCAAATCTGAGTTTACCTTGAATAATAAACTTGTCATTGATTGAACAATACATTTCTATTGAAGACATGTTAAAATGTGAAAACAATGTGCAAATCCAGATTGATAAAAAACTAATTTTTCAGGCTGGGTGTGGTGGCTCATGCCTATAATCCTAGTACTTTGGGAGGCCGAGGTGGGCAGATCACCTGAGGTCGGGAGTTCAAGACCAGCCTGACCAATATGGAGAAACTCCATCTCTCCTACTAAAAATACAAAATTAGCCAGGTGTGGTGGCACATGCCTGTAATCCCAGCTACTTGGGAGGTTGAGGCAGGAGAACCGCTTGAATCTGGGAGGCAGAGGTTGCGGTGAGCTGATATGGAGTCACTGCATTTTAGCCTGGGCAACAAGAGCGAAACTCTGTCTCAAAGAATAAAACAAACTAATTTTTCTGAGAACTGCCTGTTCCATCAGAGACTACATTTCTCACCCCCTTGCATCCAGCTGTTGCCTGGAGACTGGTTCTCACCAACAGAGTGGACTTGAAGGGTGTCACTTCTAGGCCAGGATTTTTAAGATGCAGGTAACTTCTCTACGCTTTCTTTTTTCTTCCCTGGCTGACATCAGTTGACAGGTTTAGGAGATGGCAGAGCCACAGGGAAAACAAAAAAAACCCCCTTGATTTCTGAATCACCAAATATGGAGGAAAGCCATCTACAGATCCAGATGGAGGAACACCCATCCTGGTCTGTGATGTAAGCAAGAAGTAAACTTTTATTTTATTTAAGGCATATATTTTCAGTATTTATTTGTTACCACAGTTAATATTATCTTAATTAACACACTCTGTTGCTTGGGTTGTTGTAAGAATTAAAGAAATTATCATGTGTTAAGTTCTTAGAAGAGTGTCCGACATAGAATAAACACGAAATTAACGTTAATTATCATTATTATTTAGAATTCTCTTTAAAAATGCACATAGCCTTGGAGAGGTACTCTTCAACTTTCATTTCTGGGATTTACAAAGTTACAATTGAAAGCATTTTCTATACTAGAAGGTAGTATTAAATAACAGTCAAAATTCTGTCTTTTTAGAGATAATTAATTTTAGTCAATCCCTGGGAAGACTAATGATTTGCTCTAAAGTCACTTGGTCAGTCCTAAGTACTTTAGTGTGAGTGAGTTGCTTTCTGTTTCAGCCAGAAAGGGGTGGGCCACTGGAGGAATGAGACTGTGGACAGGGAGAAGGTGTGCAGATTCATCCAAAGATGCTTATTCAAAGGTAATAAATATATTTTGGATACTTGGCACAAAGTCCCCTTCTCTGGAACTTAGCCCTGATGAGCCTCTGTTGAAGAGCTGAGCCAAAGCGGTCACTGATAAAATGTATCCTAGTCCCTCTGCCACGGCAGATGTAAACAGGGCTGAACACCTCACCCAGCCTGAGACAATCAACATCTTTTCTTTTCAATGTGGAGCTGGCTCTCTGAAAGTTTGTGCTGGCTGCCGGGAGCCTATCTGTCACGTAGCCTCATGTCTGGGGGCAGGTTTATGGCCCAACAAAAGTCATGTGCAGGGCCAAATCACAAGAAAGCAGAAATTTTGAATAAGTCAAGGGATCTGGTCTGCTGAGATAAGAATGGGGCAGATATTCAGAATAGAGCAGAGGAAAGAGGCCATGAGGCTGCCAGGACTTCTGCAGCGTGGACCCCAACCCGACAGCTCACCAGTTCCCATCTGCAGCTCCCACGAGGCTGGACTGAATCATGTTTTCATGGTTCTGGTGTCCTTAAAAATAAACGTACTTTCAAAATATCTGAGCCAGCTGATTTAGTTTCTGTTTTTTTGATCGAGAACTTGGCGATGACTAAGTCACTAAAATAAAAATCTCCTAACCTTGATTGCTTACTTGCTGTCAAATAATAGCAATACCACCACAAAGTTCACCTCTGCCCAGGTGGAAGGGGTTATTTAAGCCCCTGCTACCACTGCAACTATGACTTCCAATTTCCACTTCTAAGGGCCTGGGTTTGATGTTCTTCTGAGTAGCCTAATTTCCCAGAGATCATCTTAGTAGTCATTTGAATGGTAGGATCACATTTTTCATATTTCTGCCACGAAAGATCAAATAAACCAAAGTTTTAGATGTCGTCCTATCACAATTTTTCTTTTTGGTGGAAGATGGGTGGAAGGGGAGTGTTTTTT